GCGTCGCAGAACGCTCGAACTTTGTGAGATTGTGATGCTAGCCGTTTTGATAGAACGCGGAAGTTTGAGAACATGACGTTACATGGATAAAAAGGTAATTGCGAAAAACGAAATTTTTGTCGAGCCGACGTCCACCTATGTCTAATCTCGTCAAAACAAGAAATGACAATATGGGCAAATGTAACATGTATTATAGTGATAAAGAAACATTTCAGTAAGAAATAAAAAATTTTCTTTCTTGCTGACAAGCGCTGTTCACTGATGTAAATTTCGCATGCGTTCAAAGTGTTATTTTTTACTCTATTAGGCTTAGGTGGAAGCAGACTTGTGCTCGTTACTTGAACAATGAAATGGATTACAATTACAAATTACCGAGCCTCAAATGTAATGGATTACCTTTACAAATCACTTACGCTAAACTTTACTCGTTACGTTATAAATTACTTTCACGTTACTTTTTCCTTACACTTATCCAGAAAACAAAGAAACAATTTTGATTGTTTTTTTTGTGTTTTGCAGCACCATTTTTTTTATTAATTTTCATACGCCCGTAAAGGCAGTGCTTGTAAAAATAAAATATTGTATTTAAGAGAAAGAGTCTAGGTGGACTCCATTCGCCTGTAAGCCGACAAGGCACCAAAAGCTGTACCCACACCGGCCATCCCGCTAGCTTACGGCATCCGGAAATGATCCCTGGAATTGTGCAGGCAGAGAAAGCGGTGCGCACGCTCAGTAGCAGCGTCTGCCTCGGCTACAGGATTTGGAGCTAAAGAAGCGATCTACGAAATCTGTCGTTTGACTCGGGTGTTTCGCCTGTTATTCGCAAGGAAATGAAAAGTTAGTTCTAACGTTACCAATTACAATGCAGGGGCCCTAAACTCATCTAACGCAAAGTTGGAGCCGAAAGTTCGCGGAGCGCGCCGATTGGACGGCGGTGAACAAAGCGTGAAGTCATGGTCGTGATAGTCCAATTGGTGCGCTTTGTTAAGTTCGGCCCCAACTTTGTGTTTGGCGAGATTAGAGCTCCAGAACGCAGGTTTCCCAACTTACCTTGATGTGTTTCCGTAGATTAGACTCTGTTGTTCTTGCTGATGACAATGTGTGTTTTTCGGCGAGCAAAGTGTGCACTGAAACTCTAGGTTTCCGTTGTCCTTAATGCCATGAATTTCGAACATCGAACTAAGAGATGGCCAGGGAGATGACGGACACTCCAAGACCAAAAACTCGACCAGTCAGAGAAAAAGTGGTGGTTACGGATTATCGATCGTTCATCGGTTCTCACTTTCATATTAATATTCGTGGAGGCCCGGAGAGGGGAGGAGCGGTGGCCATCGGTCTCAGAAAACAATAGAGGATCACAAAACTTTTACGCGTTCTCTCTCTCTCTCTCTGTCAGCACTCCTTAGATGGTGTAACCCCACCCCCTCCTCCCTTTCATGTTTACAGTTGGCTGTAAAGTGAGCAGTGGACTCGACCGCCATGCCGAGACAGGTAAACCAAAAGAAGTATCGTCCGTGCCCTCAAAGACGATGCTCTTAGCCTTGTGCCGGGAGCTTCCCATCCGTGCCTCAAGAGCGTGCTACAATACAGTAGCGCACATCAAACACAAAGAGAATTCGACGCACTGCGCGAGGCCACATCGTCTGTTACGCGAGTTGTGAACCAGCGAATCGAATGGTTACAGACCCGCGTTTCATGTCAGTGCAGGTGGCGGGAGACATCAAAGACGTTGGAAAGGGTGAAACGGTGTAAAAGACAAAAAACTAATAACCGCGAAGAGCTTCTCCCTGCCCGGGAGACGAAGAAATACACGATCGAAGGCGACGGAGAGCCTACTCGGTGTTGCCTTACTTGATCTCTGGCTTTCGTATATTTGTACATGCCTTGCCTGTTTTTTTAGTGGTTCTACCGTCCGGTCATACAAAAAAATCGTGGTTTCGTTTCTGCTATTATCCCCTTCCTGACGTTTTCTATTCTGTTGAACTTGATCTCTTTATGATGCTGAATTTTCTGCTCGTATTGCTCTAATTATGGTAATATGCTCATATTTTTAAAAAGTAACGAGTTCCTAAAGTAATCCGTTACCAATATTTTGCAATGGAATCCCACTGCAAATTACTTCCGAAAAAAAGTAAGGTGGTAATTACACAATTACTTAAAAAAGTAACGGATTACAAGTAACCCGATACTTGTAACGGATTACTTCTAAGTTTGGGTGGAAGTCGGATAGTAGAAAAATTTCGTCTTTCTCAAGTATTTTTTTTTTTGGATACCGCTAACATTAAAATTTCGATCTTTACCGTTCTATCCCAGCTGCTCTCGTCGCATTTTCTCGAAGTTAATTTACGCGGGCCTAAAATATGGTTCTTTTTTCTCAAGAAAGCAAGGTACTGTACATCGCCTGGCTTCATTGAAGGGGCAAACAGTAAAATAATAATTTATGACTCGTTGAATGCACCCACTTGGCACCCGCGTTGTTGGAGAACGTTTTCAGGCCTTAAGTGTCCTCTTTTCTTCCGGGGTAAGTTTCGTAAACACGACGCATTCCGTAATACTAGTCTAGTCGCCAAATACCTAGGTTGTGGTTGTCGACAGTTAAATTCGGGACTTGTTTCCTCGGTGACACTTGAGGATGTGCTACAAGGTGTATTTATAATAACCTAAATATATCGCGGGTATTGTAACGATGCGATTCAAGCAGATGCCCACGAATTTACAGGGGACGACGAAGATGCGCGCGAAGGCGGCACGCCATTGGAACTTCTAATCTGTTCCAATACATTCATGGACGTCCTCTATCCCATGAAATTTGTTACAATACTATCCTGAATCTCCATTGAACAAGCCATTCAAGTGGCTGTGATTAGTTCTTTACCGCGCGCTAAGTGTGCAACTTCTGCTAAAACCATTCGGGGCGAAACGTCGTCATTTTCGCGCAGCCTGCACCTCTCGCTTAGTGAAGTCGGATTTGAGAAATTCGAATCCTTTATGTGTGCGAATATAAGTGGCCGTGCAACAGCGGCTCGAGAGTGGGGTCTAAACCGAAACGGTAAGCTCGGGGGCGGCTATCGCCGTTCCCGAGCCCCTATACTTCGTTTCAGCTTCGGTCCGAGCGCGGCCGATGTTAGGAGCCGAAGGGCCAATCAAACCGCAAAAGAGGCACAACGTTATGGGGTGCTCTCTGCAGTTGATAGGACCAGCCGGTATTCGCAGTCTCTCTGTGCGCGCTCCTCCGCCGGCTAGTCCTATCAAGCGCAGAGAGCACGCCATGACGCTGCGCTTTTTGCGCTCTTTAATTGGCCCTTCGGCTCATAACATCGGCCGCGCTCGGACCGAAGCTGAAACGAAGTATAGTTTTCGTCTAGCTGGAAATAGAAAAAAAAAAATATTTTGTTGCGAATTCATGCACAGTATCAGAAAGAAAAATACGCTCTCTAACTTCTGGACGACGACTGTCTGTACACAAAAACCTAGAAAACTGACTGGGTCATGTTTTAACGAGAAAGAAATGTGAGTGAATTGCATTTTGAAAATGTTTACGAAGCTCCGGAGCTCCGGAGTTCCCGGTTGGGCCCATAGGGGCGCCGCGTCGCTGGCTTCTCTCTCGTATGTCCATCCAAAGAGCAGATTCGTAGGTCTACCCAGCCGACTCCGACCAAATTGTTATGCTCATATTCGCCGCTATGATTTTCAGCGCAGGCGACGTGTATATGATCTTCGCTACCGAAAGCGAAGCACTCTGGGCTCTTTCGACCAATCAGTAAGAGCGAAGGGAAACGACCGTTTTTGTCTTTTTTGTTTTGTTTGCGCTCGCTCGTCACTCCAAGCTTTCAAACCGTTCCGCGGCTGCTATATTCGAAAGTGCGGATTTTACGGCAGTATTAGCAGTACGCTGCGCGCTTATAATTATTAGAGATGTACGTCTCTAATTTGACAGAGATTCTGCCGAGTGTTTTGCGTGCCTCATGACGGCGTGTTACGGAGTCTACAGCGCGGCGAAGTAACTCGGAGTGCTCATTCTTCCGCTTTCAAACAGACAACAGGTGAACCTCCATATCATTTTTTTTTGTCAGCGTTCGAAACTTGATTTTTTTTTTGTCAGTGTTCGAAACTCGAGGAGGAGCACAGAGGGCGCACGGCGCACGCCAACGGCAGTGGTGGCGCCATCTGGCAGTCTTTCGAGACCAATTTTAGTCTCCGACCGTTCGTATGTTCGCCTTGCTACCACTAGCGCCTCGTGGCGCTAGTTTTTCCTTCCCATGGTGGAGACTACAGCTGCACTCAGCTGACAGCGGCTCGAGAGTGCGGTCTAAACAGAAACGATAAGCTCGCCGTTCCCGAGCGCCTTGTTTTTGTCTTGTTGGATATAGAAAAAAAAAAAAAAAAAAAACTTCTTGCGAATTTATGCACAGTATTAGAAAGAAAAATGCGCTCTCTAACTCCTGGACGACGACTGTCTGTACACAAAAATTTACTAACCACTTCACAGCTATGACCGGCGCTTTCAACATGTGCGCAAACGTGATCCTATTATTGACAGAACATATTGATTTTTTTTTTATTCTATATTTGCAACACGTTGACGCTTATTACAACAATCGGCAGGTGTTCAAATCCTTGCAACATTAATTTTGACATTCTATTAAAAATAACCAACATGCGATCGAACTTGTATTTTATTTCGTGACATAATTGAGAGTGAGTTTACATTTAAAATAGCGCCAGATTTTATTAATATTTCAGTTTAAAAATTAATCAGATTAATTCGAAAATGTAAGAACACCTGTTTCACTGTTAACCTTTTGGGGCTACAAAATGCAATACTTGAAAGAATAAAACACAGAGGACAATCACAGGACAACCATTTTGCCCTCTGCGTTTTATTGTTTCAATTTTATGTACTCATGTTACCCGCTCGCCTTCACCATACAAACTGTAAACTTTCTGCTAGTTATTTTTTTTTTTCATAATGTCTTTTTTAGTGAGCTTTCTTGCAAATATTATTCCAGGATTTCGTTGCCCAACGATTCTTTGGGTGGGGTTTGGTCGTAACATCCGGGTCCATGTTGCCTGTAGTAAAGGGATGGTTTTATTTGAAATTGAACACGCGTGTGGGGATAGGTATTTTGAGTTTCTTCAAGAATATATGTAATGGCCACACTTTAGTAATAAAGAAAACAGCTGTTTACAAGTTTATTTAAATTTATTTCCTTCCGCTAAACTTTTTAAATGGGGTAAGGTGAAATGCAAATTTTTTGCTGCTTGCTTTGGAACCTAGTTGTTGGAGTTCTTGTTATAATATAATAATATACTTTATTTTCTGGTAGTGTCCAAAAACGGCCACGAATGCCTACCTATTGGTACACTATAAACAAAATCACAATCACATTAAAGATGCATTTCTCTGTTCAGCCACAAATAAATCAATACTAACTACGAAATTATCAAACGTAATACACGCATATACCAAGACACTACAGATAACACAAAGAGCTAAAACCAAAACGCAATGCTAGAAACGCAAACAAACTTTCACACTCTTTAAATGCTTCACCATTTTTAAGAACGTATCTGGATAGATGTCAAGAACAGGAGAAGAAAGCTCGTTACAAAGGTGCTGGATCCTGGACATTGGCGAGTCATGGAATGGTGTATTTGGGTAAAATTGCAAAAGAAATCTCCGAGTTATAGATTGGTAATATAAAAAGAAAGATCAGAATCCTTTTTTTTTCTAATAAACTTAAAATGCACGGTCTCTTTGTTCTTGTCTGAACTAAACATTTTGGAATTTTTAATGCCAGAAATAAGAAATAACAAGCATCGTACCTTTGACGCTTTGGTGACATATTTAGAAGTTTGTATCTTTGGAATAATAAAATATATTGCTTACTAAATCCTTCACATCTACACTCCTATGGATGTGATATCAACTGGTACCACTTCCGTTTAATTTGAGTTATTTTCACGATACATTTACAAAATATTTTTTTCTCATGTTCATTAAAAAATCAAATTTAGCCAGTTTTTGAGCAAGATTCATTAAAAAATAGCATTTTTATTTCTTCCTATTTGTTTCTTATTTCAATGATGTTAACTTTCTATTAACCGTTATATTTTCTGTAGATTTATGTTGTTTTTCGTATCGACATACTACCGTTTTGTTGATTCAGGTGCATTGTTTGGCCGCTTGATCAAACATTAAACCCACATAATAGAAGACAAAAAAAAGGTTTTCGCGCAAGTTGGCTTTACTGTAAGGCGTTTTAGGCTTGAAATGCTACGGGCAGTGTCGTTGCAAGTGTTCGGCTTGGGAAGGGAAGAGGCGGTGGGAGCTGGCTTTGACGGGAGGCGAGAAGGGGAGTGGGTGTTGCGAACGGGGCGACGTTAGAAAAATGTCTGCCCCACCCTTCCCTTGTTTTTACACCATGGCTATGCGTACTTTTGTTTTCCTTTAATTTCAATGCAGGCCTTTAAGTCAGGGTGCATATTGTCGTTTATCTCAGTTTAGTGTCTACAGCACTTTTAAGGCTTTACATAATTGTTTTAAATAAACGTTTAGCCTTTCCACTTTGATGAAGAAGGAAGACCAGCGAAACTGCACAATGGTGGGAATTAAGTAATGCCCGGCCGCAAGTCGGCAAGCCAGAGTGGAAAGGCTCGAAAGGTTGCGCCATCTATGAGTGACGGCGGCAAGCGGACGACCGGCAAACAGAACACTCTGGACAGCTACCGCCATCTATGAGCGACGGCGGCAGCCAGAGTTTTGTTGCAACATTTTTTTTTTTTTTTGTGGGGGACACGTTGCTGGGGAAACTAGCGCTGAACAGCTCCTCTCTCTGTACAAGCCGTGAGAGGTTCACCAATAAGTGTTTTCCGGATGAGTTATACGAGAACGGGGACACAATAGAAGAGGATAATCGTCACGATAACTGGGATAAATATACCGAAACTTGTTTAATCACTGCTTTTAATTACTGAACATAAAGATATGTTTCCAGTCGAACCCTTTCCAAGCGTGATCGGAAATAACTAGGTAAGTAAATTTGAGAAAGATCTGGGGCGGGTGAGAAGGGCGGTGGTACGCTGAAGTTGCCGCTCGTGAAACTGCGCAATGCTAGTGGTGGGAATGCACTCATGCGTGGTGTGTCCATCTTTTATCATCCACATTTTCTCACCACCAGCATTGCGCTCATTGCAAAAATGGTAACTTTAGTGGACCACAGCGCTTCCAAAGGATCCCAAGTCTTTGAAAGATCTACTTATAGCGTTGTTTGTGATGACGCTCAGCAAGTTTCTATTTCAAAGCCTACTTTTATTTTCATTAACCAAAAAAAAGTTAATAGGCTCCTTTCAAAACTCCATCAAGGAACACACTGATGGTCGCGATATCTTGGGCATAAAGCGCGTGATTGGATCCGGGTTGTCGCGAAACACCCACGCAGCCCTCGTGTCCGGGACATCTTCATAGTGCGTGGTCAAGCAATGGCGGACAGACGATGGCACGGACATTTTACAGTGAAGCTGTTTATGGCTAGAGTTCCGTAGAGTTTTCGTGTGCAGTGACTAAAAACCCTACGTTCGCACCGCCGGACGCGCCGCACGCGCACGCCTCAGAATTTTTTAAAGGGTCTATTAACCAATCCTAGTTGTAAACTCTTCGATAGAGAGAAAACATGACACACTGAAAACATACAAAATAAGTGATTCGCCAAAATGATATATACTAAAGCGAAATAAAGCACACAATTCACGGGACTCAAGCCTGCCGATTCAAATGAAAGGGAGAAAAAAAAAACACGCGATTGCCAGTGCACGTAGCCGGACTAGCGGATGGCTGGAGGCAGTCATTCAATTCTGATACTGGTACGTTCACAAATTCCTTTCCCCTCCCTAGCCCCTCCAAAGTCAGCTCCCGCCACCCCTTCACCTCCCAAACGCCTGCAACGCCACTGCCCTCGGATTTGGAAGCTTAAAAGAACCTTGCATGAAGTAAATCCAACCAGCGAAACTACCGTTTCGTCGATTCGGATCTATTTATTTATTTTTTTAAAGCTTTATTTTGACTGTTTCCCAGATAAAACCATTAAACTTGCCAGAAAGGGACGAAAGCCATGGATGACCCCTACACTTTTTAAAAAGACACGTAGAAAATATCAACTTTATCAAATATTTCTTGCTACCCGTGAAAAAACGGCACTTGAACAATTCAAGAAATATAGAAATCAATTAACTAGGGAAATTAGAAAGTCGAAAAAACTCTATTACTCTAATCTATTTGATGTGGAGTGCCTAAAGAAAGCAGATTTATTGTGGAAATGTATAAACAGTGTTTTTAATATGTCCTATAAATCAAGCAAAATTGAAAACATAAACCGTAACGGCAAAACATTGGGTCGTTTGAATTTGGCAAATGCCTTTAACAGCTATTTCGTGAATATAGCAAATAGCTTTTACAATCCTAAAGCGTCAGATCACATTTCGTCAATTTCGGATTCACTATTTATCTACCGTACTGATGAAATTGAGGTTTGTTCTTCTATTTCGTCTCTTAATAATAATCACAGTCGCGATGCCGATGACTTGCAAATTAAACCTATCAAGTATGTGATAGATATTATTGCTCCTTGTCTAACATACATATTCAACCTCGCAATATCATCTGGCAATTTTCCCCAAAAAATGCAAACTGCAAAAGTTTTAGCCTTGTTTAAAGCAGGTAACAAAAATGAACTAGGGAACTACCGTCCTATATCTATACTTCCTGTGTTCTCAAAAAGTCTAAAAAAAATAATTCACTCTCGTGTTGTTAACGTTTGTGATAAGCACTCTATAATTACTGATTGTCAATTTGGATTTAGAAAGAATAGGTCAACCGAAACAGCGTTAGTGGTTCAAAAAGAAGAAATACTTAAGAATTTCGAAGAAAAAACCTTAACGCTTGGGATATTTTTAGATTTCAGCAAAGCGTTTGACTCTATAAATCATTCCATTTTGTGAGATAAACTATATGCTTACGGCATTCGTGATCTTCCTCATGCTCTAATCAAATCTTATTTAGAATATCGTACCCAGTTTGTGCAAATTAATAATGAGAAATCAATTCCATTAACCATATCAGCTGGAGTGCCCCAAGAAAGTATTCTAGGACCACTTCTTTTTTTTGTTGTATATTAATGATATTGTGAACATTGATTCAAACTGTAAATATATAATCTATGCGGATGACACGAGTATCTTTTTTTCTGATATATCCGAAGAGGCCCTCATAAATAAAGCTAACGCATTTCTTTCAAAGTTAAAAGTATGGTCTCAGTCCGATTGCTTGACTATAAATACTTCGAAAACAAAAGCAATGATGTTTCGCCCACGCGGCTCAAGTAACAGAGTTTACACTCCTCTTCATTTCGGGTCTTCATACATTGAATTTGTAAATAGCATACAAACTCTCGGAGTCATTTTTTCCGAAGACATGCTCTGGACAAATCACGTAAAACATCTCTGCTCTAAATTAGGCAAAGTCGCAGGAATTATGAACAAGCATAGGCACGTTCTTCCATCCAGCGTAAAAAAGGTTTTGTACAATTCCTTATTTTATTCTCATTTATGTTACTGCACCCTTATCTGGGGTAACACGTCTTACTCAAACTTGCATATAATACACTTATTGCAAAAAGAAGTGCTAAGAATAATAGGTAACGTTCCCTACATACATCATACGGATTCACTGTTCAAGTCATACGAGATGATTAATATTCACCAAATCTATAACTGTCGTTTAACGATGGCGTATAAATATGCGGCATTAGGACGCTCAAATGTAATTCTTCAACTGTCTGATTTAAAAGAAAAAAGTGATTATTATTCATCGAGAAATCGCCAACCCTGGCAAATTCCGAAACGTAGAACGAACTATGGAAAACAAAAAATAAGTTATGCTTTACCGTCTATTCTGAACGAATATTTTGTTAAAAACATAAGATATTGTGCAATTGTCCAATAACCAAATATTCAATTTGTTCATTTGATTTTTTTCTTTCTTGACCAGTGTACTGTATGTACTCCGTCGTAGCTGCTGAATGGGGGGCCCGGAGCCTCGTCAAGCTGCATTTATGCAGCTTTTTCTTCGGCCTCCCATTCACCACTTGTATTTGTGATCAAAAATAAAGTTCGTATCGTATCGTATCGTATCGTATTATCCACTTCTACAAAAAAAAAAACTTTGAATAAGGCAATAGAAAGATAACATAATTCGGAATATTAAAAATATACTAAATATATAAAAATGCTTATAAAACACAGACTCAAAAATAGCCAAATTATATTTTATATGAATAAATATGTATTTGTATCCGTGAAAAATGAGTTTATATAAATTAGTACCGGTATATAGCACATGTAAAAGACTGCAGGTTTACCGTATTTAGTAAGCGACATGTGTGATTAATCCTAAGATACAAAAGTCCAAATATGTCACTAAAACCTGAAAAGTACGACGTCTGTCATTTTCGGTCTTCTACACGTTACTGAAAAAAAAGTGATCGCTTACTATAACAATTACTTTTTGTTGAAAATATTCAATTAGGTCACCTGTTACCCAATAAGAAGCGTAATTGAACGTTGCTTGAAAATGTAACCGTTACTTTTCCGATTACATCATATTTTCAAAGGGAAGCATTTTTCTGTTGCTTCAAAATGATGTGTCTCGTACCTTATATTCTTTGATAAGAATCATCGAATAGTAAACTACTTATTTTCCTAATCCTCCAACTTTGGTAAACCGTTCTCCTGTCGGAGAAATGGTCTCAGGATTCATTGGTCGGAAACGTGTACAATCAAAGCGCGCCATTAAAAAAGGTAAGGGGAAAATAGCTACAGTTACGAGCAAGTTTAGTACTTCCATAAGTAATTTATTTAATTACCTCTAAAGGACCACAGGGGCATTACATACAGAGGGGGCACAAAGAATGTCGTCATAGTCGTACAATTATGTAATTGTATGAACATATAAAAGGAAAGATAACCACGCTAACACAGCTGAATAACGCGTTACATGATGCATGGTCACGCTCACCGGAATGTAATAATCCCTAAGTGATTAAAAGTAATAGAGAAGAAATATACAAGTGCTACCAAAAAGAGTGTACACAGAAAACATTATAGAAAAGACTTAATAAGCGATGATGACACATACGATTACTGCCTTAAAAATGCAAACTAATAATTACCAAATTCCTTTAACTGGTATCATTTTATTACCTTTAATAAGTTCCATACAAGTTCGGTCATTGTAGTTTTGAATTTTGACAAAAAGGGGGGGGGGGGCTTTTTTGCCGGCTTGGATTTTCTGAGACACCTTTGGCAAATCCATTTCGGGACTCAAGGCATAGGCCCGCTTAGAATATTACTACATCTATCGCCCCCCCCCCCCTCATTTCCACAGTATTGTTTAATGTTGTGATGTTTTCAGTGGAAGAAGAGAGAGATAGAGTGAGAAACCAACATCGCTGGTGTTGTTATGCGCGTGCGCATGTTCGTTTATTGAGATATATTAGTATTTCAATAGTTGTCAAATTATCAGTGGTCTGTTAAGAATACTGGTCGAGTGTGAACATTATTGCTTATTGTTATTTTGAAACACCGAAATGCATTTAAAACTTAATATCTCTATTAGCACTGAGTTGTTTTCGTTCAACTAATAGCAACCCCTTAGCGTTCTACAAACCCCAAAGATGTGCAAAGGATTGTGGAGGATGCAAATTAATATGCGCAGGTTCACGTACCTTATACCCATTATGTACGAGGACCCAGAGCACCTGGACAGCCTTTCGCTGTTCTTGCCATTCGGCTTCCCCATAAGATAGCCGTCACTGTACGGGCACCCTAATGCCCCATCACTTCCCCGAACATACTCCCTACCAGGAGGGCCTTGACCGTCTTCCACGGCGCCCATACTAGAAGGACAAAAATAGAAATATCTCTGATGAAGTTCGCGCACTGATGCAAACAAAGAAACAGATTATGAACGATGCCGACTTCCAAACACAACAACCACAATGTTTATTTTACATTTTTTGCTAAGTTATCTTGTTGAATTGCACTTATGCGCCGGATGATAGCTTAAAATAAATTCTATGTGTATCCGTTTGACTTATGGAACCCTGAAAAACTATGTAGCAGCCAGGCAGAAATAACATGAAAGGAGCAGGTTGTGAGTGTCGGGACGCACTCCGTCCAGAGATAAGGCGTAACGACTTCCAGACCAATGGCAGGGGCGAAGCGACCAGTTGGAAGGACAGGAACAGAAGAGAGCTTTTTTTCAAAAGGATTCAATATATGCACAGTTTCCGAAATAGTGTTAGCAACCTGCGTACGGCACTAGCGCCCACTATATCTTCCCCCTGAGACCCTACTACTGTTAGAAAGAGAGAGCTACGCTTTGAACTGAGTAAAAAAAAAACATCATGAATCTGAACTAAATATCCCAAGTTGTCTTTTGGGAGGATTCACTTGTCTCCCGGAACGAGAGGTGTACCTCGGTCCCGCGCCGGCTCAACTAGCTCCTTAATTTATTTATTTATCCTCAAAGTTCAAAGCACATTTCAGAGGGGATTGGACACACACAAAAATAATGGCAACGAAATCAATCTACGAAGGTGGCTGCTACTAAGTGTTTCTTTAAAAAAAAAAAAAAAAAACAAGAAAACGTCAGTGATGGTTGCGATTGAAGCGGGAAGGCGGTTCCAATCTGTTGACGTGCGAGGTATGAATGACACACTGAATGCGTTAGCTTTGAAACTCGGTGTGTTAAACTTATGAACGTGATCGTAAACGAAAAGCATGCAATTAATGGCAGCGACGGCACGGACGGCGAAGACACTGCACGACATGGTGAGGCAGCAGAACCGACGGTGTCCGAACTACCACGGGATGTTGAACCTCGACCGATGGGGGAGCCTGGAGCCGGCGTGGTCGGTAGTGGTGAACTTTCACTTTGGCGATAGGGCACCAAACTTCGCCGGTTGCACTAAAGAACCGCTCCAGTGCCCATCTCAACCACGTATGACCTTTTATACTGTGCCGGACTTAGAACGGTTGCATGCTGTCGATCCGGCTGCGCCCAGACGGGTGTCCCCCTGAAGCTCTGGAAGTTCTCGGGCGCGGTGACGGTTACTGAAGTCGGCACTCTGCTTCTTGCAGTAGCTGGCATTCCTTGCAGCCACGAAGTCTCTCCTCAAACAAAGCGGCTGCAGCTGCTCCTCCGTCTTCGATAGCCGCCATCTGATTTGGCGTCGATCACCAGTTGCATATCGCTGAAGCTTGTGGCGCCTGGCATGTCCCGACAGCTTAGGAGCGCCAAGTAAGGGTCTTTCTCCTTATGGAAGAGGTTTTTGATTGTACGAAGCATCTTTTCTACCTTTCCATTTGACTGGGGGAACTTTGCGCTGTTGATTACGTGAGCGAAGCAGTACTACTTCGCGAACACAACAAACTCCTGCGACAAAAACAGAGGGCCGTTGTCGGATCGCGCGGTCTTGGGAATTTCGTGGCCAGCCGACGTAATTTTCAGAACCTCGATTACTTTGCCTGCAGGAATGTTTCCAAACGTCACGTCCTTTTGGTAGTGGGAGTAGTAGTCTACCAGCAGGACGAAGGTTTGGCAGTTTAAGTGGAAGCTAGGTCAACGCAGAGGACTTCCTATGGATTTCCTAGGAAACTTATGCTAAAAAGGGATTCCGCCAAATTGACTCGGCACGACACAGACCTCTCCCAGTTTGCCCACGAGTGAGTTGATACTGGCATTTATTAGGGGCGACCAGACCAACGTAGCGATTGATCCCTTGATGATCATCGTAAACTAAGGCGAATATCATCGGGCGAAGCGAAGCTTGGATACGACCCTGGTTTCCTTTAGCAGAAGACCGTTGCAGACGGAATGTTCTTGTAAGACTAGTGCATGCTAGGTCACATGGAACGATAACTTCGCTTTCGAGGGCGTACCACGTTGACAAAGGAAAATGAAAGTACTGCTCACGCCATTCGACACTTGAGGCATTTTTAAATCTTCCAGCGGGACAGGAAGCACGTAAGAGAAGCCCTTCACGGTTTCAGCAGCAAACAGCTTAAGGGAATCCAACCCTCCAATTGCACGAGATGTCTTCCATGGAATCCGAGAGAGCGTGACAGCCGTTGCCATAAGCTTCCCAGGGACGTGAAGCATCCTGAACTGGTACCGCATGAGCTTCAGAAGCAACCGCAGAACCCGGGGTGGCTCGATCTTGAGCTCAACGTCGCCGAAAAGAAAGAGAAGAGGCCGGTGGTCCGTCTCCACTTCAAACGAAATTTCTCCTCGTGTTCTCGTCGAACCTCTGTACCGCCCACGTGGCCGACAGCGCCCCCTTTTCTGTTTGGCTGTAACGCTGCCTCGTTACTGCCAGATCTTTCTATGCGGCGAAGGCAACAGGTCGTCGATACCAGGTCGGCTAAGTCTAGAGTAATACTGCACCCAGCCCGAATGAACTTGCATGCGCGTAGATGAATGTTTGGTAGAACGTGTAGTATTCCGAGATGCAGTGTTCCGACGTGGGAATCTCCTTCAGGGCAATAAAGGCGGCGTCTTGCTCGGGTGTCCAGGTCCACTGTGCGTTCTTGCTGAGGAGTGCCCTGATTACCTCGATAACTTGGACCACGTGGGGAAGAAAGCGGGCAAAGAGGTTGACCTTGCCGAGAAGGCATCGCACCCCCGCGACACCCGTCGGTGGGTTCGTGTTCTTCAGCTCACAGAACTTGCCGGGGTCGGCTATTGTCCCGTCAGCAGAGACGACGACGCTAAGAAAGGACACAAGGGAGACGCCGAAGCGGCAATTGTCCTTATTGACAGTGACGCCCGCCTTAAGAGACGCGACAGAACAATCTGCTGGCGCTGGTCCTGCTCTTTCATCGTTCTGCCAAACACAAGGATGTTGTCAATCATGTTGATTGTTTCTTCGAGGCCTTCCAAGATTCGAGCTATCTGTCTTGGGAAGAACTCGGGGGCTGACATGATGCCGAACGGGCGCCGGCCAAATCAAAACCGGCCAAACGTTGTTAGAAACGTGGTAAGCTCCTGCGAGTCTTCGGGCAGCTTCACCTGGTAAAAACTGGACGGTCCAACTTCGAGAATACAGGTGTGTCAACCAAATTGATTTAGCTTCGTCACTTCGACACAAAGCCGAGAGCCACCAGAGGGTGTCAGAGCCACGACCAGTACAGCACAATATGGAGCTGGATTGGAGACTCGCTGTATGAACCCGTCGTGTTTCATCTCGCTGAGCTCCGTTCGCACAACCTATCGCAGGGGCATGGGTATTCGGCGTGGAACGCTGAGGGAAAAAGGCTCCGCATCAGGATGTAGGTTAGTCGTGTACTCTTCCATGAGCGTACTAAGGCCTTCGAAGAAACGTTGCGGTGCCGGTATCTCTACGTCGTCCAAACATTTTACGACAGCCATGGCTTGGATGACTGGAATTCTCAGCAGTGGCACCGAGAGATTCTTGAAACATAAAGACGCTGACGCCTGCACTGGCCCCGCCGAACAAATGTGGTCATGAAGGAGCACAAGATTTGCAGCGACTGGTCTCCCGGTCTTGTCAGCAAGACGTCGACCGCGCCCAGTTGGAGGGGAAAGTTCGGAAATCCTTCCGATACGGCACACACCTCAGAGCCGGAGTTTACCTTGAATATTTCAGTCTTATTAGGGAGTTTAAGTATACCGTGTTTCCCCTTCAGCTAACTCTCCGCTACGAAGAAACCGCCACTGCACCTACGCGCCGATGGCCTCGGCTGTAGAGTTCCGGGTAGCGGAGGGGGAAGCACGGTCTACTAAAACTCGCTATAAATCTTTTCTTGCTTACTCTCGCCCCCCGCCACCAAGTAGGCAGATCCGGTATGGGCGACGAAAAAATTATACAACATTTCAACCTGCAAATGGTCAAAAAATAGAGCGGACACAAAATCAGAATGTGTGATGGTTACGCTTATATCCGAAATGCATTATATTGGTGTGGAGACGGCAAAGCAATGTTTTCGCCCATACTGGAAACGACGATATTTTAAGATGGCGGCGCTCTTGTGAAGAGGGTCTATTGTCGACTGTCACCTCAACGTACTTGGACTTCCCATGCTTGAGGATTGCGTGAAGCTGTAGGGTCGCCCATCACCTTGCTCTGCTACTGCTTCCGACCGTGACAGACGTCACGCGAAGCGGCCTTTATTCTTGCAGTAGTTGCACAGCAACTGTCCAGCGGGACAGCTCGAACGCGCGTAAACAGCTCGGTCGCAGTAAATCGCAGAATCCGCTTGGTCATCTGCACGGATTGCAGACGCTGGCGCATCTTCCGAAAGCTTCGTTCCCTGCACTGGCGCGGTGGGCCACGGCGAGTCTTTGCTGCGGCATCGTTTTTGTCTGCAACGTGTGCTTGACTTTAGTGAGTTTTTTTTTTTTCTCGGCATCATAGGCCTGTTATGCCTGCAGCCACGCTTCTTTTAGGCTGAGTTTAACGTTTCGGCAGAGCTGGTCAGAGAGGCGCGCATCTTGAAGGCCAGCAACCAATATGTCGATTAGAAGACGCTCTGCGACGTCCGGCGACGGATGGTTTCATCGTTTGACAAGCCGACACAGCTCAGCGCAGTGGCGGCATATACTCGATCCTGGCTATTGAACCTTCTTGTTAATTCTTGAGGATTCGTAAACCTCAGTGTCGGGGCACACAAAGAGCACCGAAAAAGGCGTTACGACAAGGTCGTAGCCTGTCAGCGCCGCGTCCTCCAGGCCGAGACTGCTGAGTTGGGTATCGAGCCTACGTTCCCATGCTGTAGAGTCCGCACCTGTAAATCACGTGGCGCTTGGCGAAGACCCGAAGCGTAGGAATATTCCACGAGAAGGTTGAGCCAGATGGGCCAGGGGGCTGTGTTCTCATAGTCAACACGGTCGGTTGAAAAAGCTAACGAGCGCTATAGCCGGACAGTGACAGGGCCATAGACAAAGCTAAAGAGGTCTATAAAGACGACTCTAAAAATACTAAGAACAGTCATAGATTTTTTTTTTAGCTAAATGGGCTAAATAGCTAAAGCTGACCATAGAAAGAATTTTCTGTAGCCGACCATAGTACATTTTTATATGGGTTCATCGCTTCTCGAAGCGGTTGTGTAATGCCTTTTAAACAAATTTAAACGATTGCTCCTTAAATGGTGCATTTCATGCATTACGGTACTTTGGAGGTAAATATTACTGACAATGCGTATCCATTGACTTCTCTATAGGAGCTATTCGTCACCTTCGTACCCTTCCAAATTCAGTGGGCTAGGAGGATGCTTTCATCGTTCCATGGTAAGGACATCATCATCTTCTTTGCACCGGCGGTAACGCGAAATGCCTTTGGTGGCGGGGAGTCCCAGTGTTTAGATTACTGCGACAGGCGTTTGGGTTCAGGGTACGTACCAGCATCCCTATCTCGTATATTGTAACAATCAATGAAAGAGAACCATCACTCATGCGTCATCATGTAATAAAAACGCCGGATCGATGTAGAAATCAAATCATTGCATTATGTTTTCTGAATATGACCGGTCACCTATTTTAGTGTTTGAAACCTTTGGTCGGATCAGGTATCGCAAAGATCTTTTGATGACATTCACAGTGTTTCTCCGCCTCACACTCGTTCCCCTCAAAATATCGCAAATTTTGAAGTGCTTGTCATGCTCCGATTTGCTCACTTTTCTGGAAAATCAATTACGAGACATTACAACTTAAATGCCCTAGTGCTAGACGGGAAGAGAAGACGTTTGCCTTGAGCGTTCGTCTCATGCCATAAACTGGAATGCCGAGACATTCGCCTGTTCTGCATTGAAGGGCTTCTTAAACGTGCAGTTTATGTACGCAGTATGCTGACTTACAGAATAGACAGCTGGCGAGCGGCGCTTTTAACACCACGGTATTTTCCATCATCCGTCGCTGCTGCGACAAAATGTTCCTTCAGACAAATACCTCCGATTCGTCCTACAATGCCTGAAAATTGTAAATAAAAACGTAAGATATTCGGGAGACACATATATGTCACAAATTAAATCAATGAGATAATTAACATCAGTTGTAGAACGTAAAATGTATCCGCATACCTGTCAGAACGTCGTTCTGTTTACTGGTTCCAATATTGTTGCTGTTGGTGTTTTCGGTCTCACTCATAGACATATTTCTAATGTGTGACCTGCCAGACATAAAAAGACGAAAGACTAATACGTTTCAAACTATGCCAAACGTTTTTAACAATTTACCCAGTGTTGTTTTATTAGAACTTATTAGATGCCCATCAATGATATTACACAAATAAAAGAATGATATTCAGTGTACACACAAAAATGAGGCTATATAAGCACAAGTAAAAACGAAATACTCTGATACAATTAATCCAACTTTAATATCAAGCGAATAGTATATTAAAGAAACATGAATCCCCTAACATGCGTCAAATTCAGCTGAGTTCAAAATGGCGACCGGGGAGGGCGGTAGATCACTCCAGTCACTCACGGCTCGTGGAAGAATATGATATTTTCAAAACGTTTCATTGCTTTTTATAAAGGAATATATATAAAATATAAAAATGATCATGCGAGTGTTTTATGAAAAATATAAATATATGAAAAGACGTTATTTCTTACGACTTCTTTATGTTAAAAAAAAAAAAAAAAAAAAAAAGATTTAAGGTCATTAGACAAGACATCTACCAAAGAGTGTTGCGTAGTTTCCACTCTGAAGTTGGAGTGGATCCGGATTAATTCCGCACTTGCGCGACCCCGGAATGGAATGGGAATGGAATGGTGGCAGCACTAGGGGGAAGGGAATGGGCTTGGTTTTTATGCGAGCTGTGTCGATTTTCAATTACGGTCTACGGTCCAATGCCGCAATTCGCAATCGCGTGGTAAGTAGCTCTTGAAACAGCATCATTGCACTTGAGGTATTGAAGGATTCTTTGTTTCACTGGCTTATGCTCTTTCGATGATGAAATTGGAGCACCTTCGGTGGAGCTTGCAACCAAACTGTAGAGAGACAAGGTGTCGTTTCTGGTGCCGCGAGACGCGACAAAGCGGTTGTTGTACGTATGCGCGATTGGCATGCAGCGTTTAACCAGGGTGTCGAACCGAACCCGAACCGAACAGAACCCGAACCAATTTCGAACCTAACCCAAATAATGACCAGATCGACTCCCTGCTTTTAACCCAGCCGATCTTCTAGTATTTGTGTGGATCGCAAATAAGAAAAAATAAACTGAATACACAGCAAACGTAAAATTTTACGTTTCAAGGCAGGTTTTATAATATGGTGGTACAGTCCCTTGTGCTGGCGCCGTCAACCGATTAAACATAGTCAGTGGTCTTTTGTTCCTGCCGCAGTGCATGGAGATTTGAGGCAGGTTTAAGCGGCGTCGCTTCTAATAGCGCACTAGCGCGGTGTTTTAGCGAACTATCCGACGCAAAAGCAAGATAGCTTCTTCTTGCACCAAGCACGAACTAGACATTTTTAAGGCCTTATCAAACAAACAACACGCTAACCATGTATCTGTGAAGGGTATACATGGTCCGTTTCCGAAGAAAATTAGTAGTTTAATTTTTTGGCGTCTGTTAGGACTCGGAAGCCTTTTACGCTTGATCGCGCGATCGCTGTCTGCCGTGACAAGAAGTCGTTACGGAGCGAATTGTGCGACCAGCATATGGCTTAACAGAATGAATGCTCTGAGGATGCTTGTGTATACATCTTCGTTTGATGACGTTAGCAGCTCTATACTGCTTTTTGCATGAACACAACGTTACTCTCACTGGCCGTTTATTTACCTTTAGGAACTAGAGGAATGGAGTAGTGAAGTTCAACCATTCCAGGAGTGGGAATGGGCCCAGTGTCTCCACTCCGAGGAGTTGAATGGAATGGAATTGCCGAAAACTCTAATTCCCCAGAAGTGAATGAAATTGGAATGGATGGGGGATGTCCATTCCGTAATACTGCTAACAAACAGATGATCATATTTTCACGCAAATAAAAAACATGTATATTGGATGGTGAATATAAAATAAACTAAGTTAGTTACGTTTATTATTACCAATCTTTGATAAACAGTTCAAATGAAATTAACTAATCAACTCGGGGCTTACATAGTAGGCACCTGTCACTGCCTCACAGTTTTTTTGTTTTTTGTGTTCTTCTCTAGCCTTGAATCGAAGTCTTCCTGGCTTCGTTAGGAAATTGTTGACATGGTTGGCACAAATATGCGTTGAGGTCATTTCTTTGATTTCTGAAAACTATATATATAATGTGAATGTATTAACAGTCCCATGTAGCGAAGCCGGCGTTGTCTGTAACCGTCTGTAGCAGCAAAACGGCACGTTCTTCAAAAATAAAACCCAAAGAAAAGCACAGCAACGAATGCTTCGTCACGGAAGAAGTCGTGAAGCAGACAGGCTTCGCAGCGCCTTCGCAGTGGGGGAACGTGATGTCACTGCTGGAGCGCCGTGTGCTAGAGGAAGACGTAGCGAGCTGCTTGTATGAATACGCTGCCTGTAGGAATGCTTTCGCATTCCTACACGTGAGCAGTCTTAAGTGCCTCTGCCGAAGTTTTTGTTGCTTGTTATGCACATGTATGTCTGAGTTATGCACTGATGGGTCTTCCTGCATAATCCCTAAATGGTTCGAAAGTATAGGTATAAATAAAAAAAAAAGAATAAATATTTGCTAAAATAAACAAAATTAGTTGTATCAAGCTAAAATTGTATATTTCTGTATAAAATGGGCACTTATCATTTTAGTATTAAAATAAAGGTCACGACCTAACACGTTTTTATTCTTATATTTCCTTTAGAGCGCCTCTCTTAGGCGCCGTTTCCGGCTTGAGTGGCGTCGCCGTCGCCGTCTCCGTCGGCGTAACCGCTCGTTGCGTTATGGGAAACGTCCCATATTCCAACGCACGGGTCTGATTCGTGAACCGCGCGTTGCATTCTAGGACGTTTCCGATAATGACGTCAGTTGTGATATCATGTGTGACATTACAAGGGTCACGAGTGACGTCACGAGGGTCCCACGCGTTGCATTATGGCGAACGTCCCATGATGCAACGCGCGGGTCACGAGTGAGACTCGCGCGTTGCATCATAGTACGTTTCCAATAATGCAACGCGCTGCACTCACTAGTGACCCGAGTGTTGCATCACGGGACGTTACCGATAATTACGTCACGCGTGACGTCACAAGTGTCACGAGGATCCTGTGCGTTGCATCATGGGACGTTTCCTATATTGATGTCACACGTGACGTGTTACTCATGACCACGAGGGTCATGAGTAACAAAACGAGGGTCACAAGTGAGGTCACAACGGTCACGAGGGTTACGAGTCACGTCAACAGTGTCGTCACCAGTGGCGTCACCAGGGACACTCGTGAAGGTCACGACGAAGGTCACGACCACTGATCTCTATGTCTATTTGCAGGATCACGTTTGACCAGCTCCGCCTATGGACGGGAATGCGGCCACGGTCAGTCATCTTTTTGGTGGATTTATATTATCTCTAGCCATCATAGTAAAATGGCAGACAGCGCAATGGCAGCAGGCTGCCATAAAATAGTCGTGGATATAGTACACTGTACCGTGGGTGATATTTCTTGCTTGATTGAGGTTGTTCGACGAAGCAGATTGTTGAAACCCGGCGTGAACGGTAGCCTCATCTTTGAGGACCCGGCAAAAGCTCTACGAAAGCACAGCAACGGGGGAAAGCAGCGCAGCTCGCATCGAAAGCAGGCTCCGTATCGACGTCTACTTTCGATGCTTCTTTCGATGCGACTTTCGATGCGTGCTGTGCTGCTTTTGCCCGGTGCTGCTATTTCGTGAAACTTCTACCGGGTCCTCAAAGATCAGGCTACCGTTCACGCTGGGTTTCAAAAATGTTTCGTCAAACAATTTCAATTAAGCACGAAATATCACCCACGGAATTTTGATGGCAGCCTGTCACCACAACTCCCACAACGCTGTGTGCCATGGATGGATGATTGTGGCTGCAGCGCTGTACCTTGGCTAGAGGTAATATAACTGTACCAAAAAGATGGCCGCCAGTGCCGCATTCGCGGAGCGGGCAAACGCGGTCCAGCAATTGTAATAGAGATCATTGGTCACAACCTTCACGTGACCTGCACTCGTGAAGCTCATGAAGTTCGTGATGTCTTTACAAGTGACGTTACGAGGGGACAGTGAGGGAGGCGGAGGAAGAGGGGTGGAGAATTAGAGCAGGGGAAGGGAGAAGGAGAGGAGGAAGAGGAGAGGGGCCAGAGGACGACGGGAGGAGGAGCAGAAGAGGTGGGGGAGAGGGCAGTAGGCGGAGAGGAGGAGAGGGTATTCAGCAGAAGGCGCGTACCTTCCTCTCCGTACTCTCCCCCTCTTATCAAGATCTGCGCTGTAATTCGGCACTACAGAAAGTTGTAAACGTCTTTTTTTCTACTTTTTCAATAAATCGTTCCAGTAGGGGTGTGCGAATATTAATATTTTTGAATACGAATCGAATACAAATAATTAGCTTCGCATATCGAATCGAATATCGAATAGTCGAAAACAGCTGCATTTATTTACAGAATTTTTATTTTCACATGTCGGAACTGCAGTTGATTTTTCTTTTGATTTCTTAATTTCTGAATTGCAGAACTGCAGTTGATTTTTCTGCATGACAACTTGTTATCTTCACTACAAGTAGAATTTTTGTTTTTGTGTTTTTATTCTCGTTAACACCAGTGAAACACTGGCGTTAACGAATATAAAAACACGAAAACGAAAATTCTAGTTGTAGGGAAGATCACAAGCTGTCATGCAGAAAAGTCAACTGCTGCACATGGTCAGGTAGGAGGCGCTACCTTCGAGCGGATCTACACCTCCAGGCACAGAAAACAATCTCTCACTCAGCACTGAAGTAGCAGGCATTGCCAGGTATTTGATGCAAAGCTTCGCCAGACTCGGCTATCTCAAAAAGGCCCTGCAATCATATTCTAGCGTCTACATTTTTTGCGGTTTCCACATCTCTCGTGGTTCGGGCAAGCCAGCGGGCACGGAGAGAGTAACGTAATATCTGTGCGTCATATTTTAACCGGACGACGCGGAAACCTCCTCCACCGACGAGGGCGACCCGTGGTACCGAAAGCACGCATTATCTGACGTCTTTGGTCCTGGGCTTAATACTGGTCA